AAACTCATAGAAACAGCTGACCTGAACAAAGGAACCTCTTAGACACCAGACTGATGTCTGGAAGGCCAGCATGGGACTGATTCATACCACATGAATGTGGGTGTAAATGAGGAAGCCTAGGCAATCTATGGGAACTTGGATAGTAGATCAGTATTTACCCTTGGCATACAAATGGACTTTGGGTGCCCGTCCCACAATGATGGATGCTCTCTCAGCCTGGAATCTTGGAGGAGGGCCTAGGCCCTGCCCTGAACAAATTGAGGGACTCTGGAGATCCCGCATGGAGGACCTCACTTCAACAGAGTGGAGATTGGGTGGGGTGCTAAGGGGACTGATGAGGGAGTGTGGGTGAGGGAACCTGGATTGATATGTGAAGCAAGCTTGTTTCTAATTTAATTAAAAAAGAAAAATCAGGAGTGTATATAGACATTTTGGCACCATTATTTTATACTCAGCTGTCAATACAAAAATAGTACATGCATCATTATATTTCTGAATACCACAAGACATTACACTCATGTATCATCTTTCATTTGATTTATATGTTTACACTGAAGGTGAGAATTTCACATATTTCTTTTTCCACTTTTATTCAAGTTTTTTCTAAAATGATACAACTTGATTACTGTTTTTCCTCCTACTCCTACTACTCCTCCCAAATCTCCCTTTCCCACTTAAATACACTCCATTTCTGCTTATCATTAAGAATCAAATGGGATTCCTAAGTATAAAAATGAATTAAACCATCATATTGATGTTGGTTTTCTATTGAATCATAATCAACTTCTGCAAGAATTTGATCTTATGAGATATTGCTAGATCTAGCAATAGCCTTTTATTCAATATTATTAACCTCTTCTTTAAACTGGGATTCTATTTTAATTGTGTTTCAGACTCTAGAACAGCTTTAATCAAATCAATAGAATATACAGGAAAAAATTGTTACAGACCACCTATTTATCATCTCCTTCACAAAAGGTGAATGGATGCCATAAGAGACTATAGCTTCCTTGAATTTCCCTAAATCTAACATTGGCACAGACCTCCAGGTAGCTCTTATAGAATCTCTTTCACTTGACACTCCCTGTAAGTTTATTGAATATATTAAAATTGTTTAAAGACTGTAGAGTGTTCCTTTTTACCCTGACACTTCAATGATGAATCTCTATAATCTGTTTTAATTAATTGTTCTAAGTTCTGCATCTTAAAACTCATACTAACCAACTCTTTTAGAGATTAACCAAGAATTATCAAAAGAGCAAAGATAATCAAAATAATAATTAACATTTATTCAATTACCATTAAGTGTGTTATTTTGTTGTCTTTGAATAGTTTCAATTCTGAAAATGGGTTAGATGTTGTTAAAAGACATTTGATTACAAATGCTGCTGGATTAATCCAACCTATATATTTTGAAAATGCCTTGATTTCAAAATATCAGTCTAAGGATATGTTACTTTGGAAAATAGCTTATGCTTTTGAATCCATAGAAGAAGGAAAGCTGTGGATTCCTTACATACTAATAAGGACTAACCAAGAAAGACCCACTGAAGCAGTGGCTCAGATGATCCATCATCCAAAATGTGGTTGGAGGTAGTCTCAGACTAATTCAGAATGTATTTGGACAAGTTTCTGGGGTTTCTTGGGGGTCACATTGGGATTTACAGCACCCCCAAATAGCAAGAAGCACTTTAGAAAGAAGTATAAGCATGGCCCTAAATATTGTTTAAAAATAATTGTTTCAATTTATATGTGGCTGGTTATAAGTAGTCAGTGATCAAAGTCAATGCCTTCCTAAGAAAATGGCAATATTATGTAGAAATTAATACTTTCCATTGGTATGGATTTTAGTTTATAGATACATATTTAAAATCAATTTTTCTATATGTATGTTGCTACACTTGTTTAGATTTTGTATTTATAAAATTCATTTAAAATATAATATAGATCTTAGACCTGAATTCTTCCAGCTCACCGTCTCTCAGATCCCATGGCTTGGGGACTGCAGCCAGGTAGACTCCCCCCAGGACAAACAATTAACAAGGAGCCTGCAAAGAGAGATACTCCACTTCCACTCAAACCCAGGGCAGAGGGCAGAGAGCACAGGCCAGAGACTATTGGATTTGCTTGCACCTACCAGATGGGAACACGGGTCGCCTATCAACCAGGAAAAGAAGAGACTCTACACCCACTGGAATAAGTGATGGGTAAAAGGCAATATAAGAAAACACCCAGCAACAGAAAAACAAATATGAAACCACCAGAATCCATGTATTCCACACCAGTAAGACCTGAACACTCCAAAGTGGATGAAGCAGAAGGGAATGACCCTAAAAACACCTTCATGAAATTGATAGAGGCCCTCAAAGAGGATGTGAGAAAATCCCTTAAAGAAATGGAAGAAAAAACAAACCAAAAATTCCAAAAAAATCAAAGAAAGGGAGGAATACACAAAGCAAAAATTACAAGTAAAATTCAAACAATGCAAGGATTGAAAGGTGACATGGAGACAATAAAAACATCACAGTCTGAAGTAATGCTGGAAATCGAAGAACTAGGGAAACAGATAGATACTACAGACACAAGTATAACGAACAGAATACAAGGGATGGAAGAGGGAATCTCAGGTGTTGAAGACACACTAGGAGAAATAGATTCATCAATCAACTAAAATCTGAAGTCCAACAAATCCCTAACAAAAAATATCCAGGAAATATGGGACACCATTATAAGACCAAACCTAAGAATAATAGGTATAGAAGAAGGTGAAGAAACCCAACTCAAAGGAACAGAAAACATATTCAACAAAATCATAGAAGAAAACTACTTTCTCAACCTAAAGAAAGACATGCCAATGAAGGTACAAGAAGCATACAGAACACCAAATAGAGTGGACCACAAAAAAAGTCCCCTCGCCACATAATAATCAAGACCCCAAGCATACAAAATAATGAAAGAACACTTAGAGCAGCTAAGAAAAAAGGTCAAATTATATATAAAGGCAAACCTATAATAATTACACCTGACTTCTCCATGGAAACTCTGAAATCCAGAAGGTCCTGGATAAATGTTCTATCAATACCAAAAGACCATGAATCGCAGCCCAGACTACTACACCTGGCAAAGCTCTCAATCATTATAGATGGAGAACACAAGATATTCCATGACAAAACCAGATTTAAGCAATACATATCCACTCTCCCAGCCCTACAGAAAGTTCTAGAAGAAAAAAAAATCCCACTAAAGGATGTTAACTACAACCAGAAAAATATAGGAAATAGATAATCCCACATTACCAATACCCAAAAGAGAAAAGGGGCAGAAATCCACATACAATTCCACAAAGAACAACCTTTCCAAAACAAAAAGGAACCAGTAATCAGTCATTAATATCCCTCAGTATTAATGGTCTTAATTCGCCCATAAAAAGGCACAGGCTGAGAGAATGGATTTGAAGACCTTCTGCTGCATACAAGAAACATACCTCAGCCTCAAAGACACACATTACCTCGGAGTTAATGGTTGGGAAAAGATTTTCCAATCAAATGGACCCAAGAAACAAGCAGGGGTAGCAATCCTATTATCTAAAAATATAGACTTTAAACTGAAATCAATCAAAAGTTATGAATGAGGTCATCTCATATTCAACACAGGGAAAATCTACCAAGATGGAGTCTCAATTCTGAACATCTATACCCCAAATATAAAGACATCCACATCCATTAAAGAAACATTACTAAAACTCAAACCACACATAGAAACTCACACACTAAGAGTGGGAGACATCCCTACCCCACTGTCACCACTAGACAGGACTACAAGAAAGAAACTTAACAATGAAAAAAAGGAACTAATGGAGGATATGACCCAATTGAGTTTGACAGACATCTATAGAACATTCCAACCAAACACAAAAGAATATACCTTATTCTCAGTGCCACATGGAACCTTCTCAAAAATTGACCACATAATTGGAAACATAGCAAACCTCAAAAGGTACAAAAAAGTGGGAATAACTCCATGTATCTTATCAGATCACCATACTAAAAAGTTAGAGTACAACAACACAAACTGCAGAAACCCTACATACTCATGGAAATTGAATAATGTGTGCTATTGCACCATGCTTAGTTCCAAGAAGAAATAAAAAAGAAATTAAAGAATTCCTAGAATAAAATGAGAATGAAGACACAGCATACCCAAACTTACTGGACACTTTGAAAGCAATGCAAAGAGGAAAGTTCATAGCACTAAGTGCCCACATGAAGAAACTGGAGAATAGTCACACTAGAGAATTAACAGCACAACAGAAAGCTCTAGAACACAAAGAAGCAAACTCACGCAGGAGAAGTAGATAGCAGGAAATATTCAAATTGAGGGCTGAAATCAATAAAGAAGAAACTAGGAAAACAATACAAAGAATCAATGTAACAAAAACTTGGTTCTTTGAGAAAGTTAACAAGATAGACAAACCTTTATCCAAATTCACCAAACGGCAGAATGTGAACATGAAAATTAACAAAATCAGAAATGAAAAGAAGGACATAACAACAGACACTGAGGAAATCCAGAGAATCATCAGGTCATATTTTGAAAACCTGTACTCCACAAATATCGAAAATTTAAAGGAAATGGATGACTTCCTGGATAGTTATCTCCTGCCAAAATTAAATCAAGAACAGATAAGCAATTTAAATAGACCTATACCACCTAAGGAAAGAGAAGCAATCATCAAAAGTCTCCCAACTAAAAAAAGCCCAGGGCTAGATGGCTTCAGTGCAGAATTCTACCGGAAATTCAAAGAACAGCTTATACCACCTCTCCTCAAAGTATTCCATGCAATAGAAACAGAAGGGTCTTTGCAAAACTCTTTTTATGAGGCTTCAATAACATTGATACCCAAGCCACACAAAGACACAACTAAGAAAGAGAACTTCAGACCAATTTCCCTCATGAACATTAATGCAAAAATACTCAATAAAATACTAGCAAATCATGTTTTTTCCAAAAATTGCACCAAGGTAAAGCAGAGCTTTAACTGATGCAGGTATGGTGTTAGGTGTTAGCAGTATTGTCCCCACTATGCCTTCACTGACAGTAACACAACCCCCAAAAAAGGTATGGAGAGAGTGGAAAGCCTTGTCTTGCTCCTTATTTTAGAGGAATTGTGTTGAGTATCTGTCCATTTAGTTTGATATTGGCTGCTGGTTTGCTGTATATAGTTTTATTATGTTTAGGTATGTTCCTGTTATCCCATATATCTCCAAGAACTTTATCATGAAGGGATGGAACTAGAAGAAACTATCCTGAGTGAGATTACCCAGTCACAAAAAGAGAAACATGGCATGTACTCCCTCACCCTCCCTGGGGAAATGAGAGGATATTGGGGGTTTGGTGGGTTTGCATGTGAGGAGGGGAGGGAAAGGGATAGGGACCTGGAATTGTCATGTGAAGCAACCTTGTTTCTAATTTAAATTTAAAAATAAAATAAAAATAAATAAATAAAATATAAAAAAATACTGGCAAATCGGATCCAAAAACTCATCAGAAACCTCATCCTTCATTGTCAGGTAGCCGTCATTCTAGGGATGCAGGGTTGGTTCAACATAAGAAATCAACGTAATCCACCATATAAACAAGCTGAATAACAAAAATCACATGATGCTTAAAAAGCCTTTGACAAAATCCAACAACTCTTCATGGTAAAGGTCTTGGAGAGATCTGGGATAACAAGAACATACCTAAACATGATAAAAGCTATATACAGTAAACCTATATTATTATGAGTGTGGTTAAATTCCTTAAGTTGGAGTTTTCCTTCCAGTACTTTCTGTAGGGCTGTATTAGTGGATATGTATTGTTTAAATCTGTTTTAGTGGGGTGTGTGTGTGTGTAATGTCTTGTTTTCTCCATCTATATTGATTGAAAGCTTTTCTGTATATAGTAGTCCTTGCTGGCATCATGGTCTATTAGTGTCTTTAGAATGTCTGTCCAGTGCCTTCTGCCTTTCAGAGTTTCCATGGAGAAGTCAGGTGTGATTCTGATAGGTTTGCTTTAAGGTTACTTGGTGTTTTTCCTTTGCTGCTCTTTAGTATTCTTTCTTTAATCTATATATTTGGTGTTTTAGTAATTATTTGACAAGGGGACTTTTTTCTGGTCCACTCTATTTGGTGTGTTGTAGGTTTATTGTACTTTCATTGTCTGTCTTTTAAAGGTTGGGGAAGTTTCATCTATGTTTTGCTGAATATATTTTCTGTACCTTTGAGTTGGGATTCTTCTATACCTATTATTCTTAGGTTTGGCCTTTTCACAGTGTCCCATATTTCCTGACTTATGATTTTCTTAGGTCAATGAATCTCCTTCTCTTAGTGTATCTTCAAAGATTGTGATTCTCTCTTACATCACTTGTATTCTGTTGTTATGCTTGCATCTGCCATTCCTGATTTTTTACCCACCTCTTCTAATTCCAGAATTCCTTCAGAGTGTATTTTTATTTTATTTATTTTAGCTTTCAAAATTTGTATTATTTGAATTCTTTCTTGCAATTTTTGGGTTGTCTTTTCCTCCATTTATTTAAAGGATTTTCTCATTACCTCTCTTAGGGTCCCTATCATCTTTATGAAGTTGTTTTTAAAGTCACTCTTCTTCTTTATCTCTGTTGGTACATTCAGGTCTTGCTGATGTAGAGTCCCTAGACTCTGGTGGCGTCATATTGGCTTTTCAGTTGATGAACGTATTTTTGTGTTTTCATCTTCCCATTCCTTCTTCCAGTGGTTACAGATGGGAACTTTTCCTCTCCTGGTGGGTACGGGTCCAAGGTTCTCTTCAGGTGGGGGCACGTAGGTCCAATATTCTGATTGCTCTCACCATGGGTGCAGGATTGACTGAGGTATTCCTCTCCTGGTGGGTGGAAGCTAGATTAGGACAATGCCATTCGGCAGACTGGAGTGTGTTTGGTGAGCCAGGGGTGAGTTGACCTGCCTGCAGTCCCCAGGCCAGGAGACTCCAGCATGGGCCAGCAGAAGGAAGTCAGACCTAAGGTGGGGTCAGAGCTCACCTGTACCCTGAGTAGGGGCTGGGAGTGGCCCAACAATCTCAGCATGCCCGAAGTTGCTTGGTCAGGAGATCCCAGAGTGACCAAGCAGAAGGAAGTTTCAGCCTAGAATCCAAAGACCATTTGGCCCATCAGTGTTGTTCCAAGAGACATGAATTCCTCACACAGAGCACTAAGCTTCCAGGATTACTGTTTGGGTGTCACATTGCCAGGTCTTCCAGCAGTCAGGGCTGTGGGAAGGACTGGTCTCAGTGACCCAGACCCCTTTACTAATTACCAGAGAAATCCTCATTGAGTCAAGAGACTTGTTGAATCAGAGTCTCCTGTTACATGTAGTTTTACTAAGCTAAAGTTAGAGTCTTCATTTTTATTTAGTCAGAAAACAAGAGATGATGGGGGATGTCCTATATGCTGCAACTATATGTTTTTCTTACTGATTGGTGAATAAATGCTGATTGGAATATATCCAGGCCAAAAAAATATAGGCAGCATTACAAGAATAGAAATCCTGGGAAGAGGGAGGCAGAGAACATACCATTTATATACCAGAGATATACAATATAGCTGAAGAAGTGGTAACATGTCAGAGCATTACTGGTAAGCCACAGCAACTTGACAATAAATATTTTAATAGAAATTGGTTAATAATTTAGAAAGATTTGGTGATTAAATTGCCTCAACCATTGGTCAAACAGTTTAAAATGAATATAAACCACTTTGTGTTTATTTGGGACTAAAGAGCTGTGTGACTTTGCAAGATAGAAACTCCATCTTCAGAAAGATTGTGAGTATATTGGAAGCAGAGTGATTTAGTACTGAATTCCCATCTCCAATAATGTAGTTCTTCTCTCAAGGTCATTCCTCCTAAGTCTCCCCAGAGAGCAAAGTATTAAGTATTCAAATATGGGAGCATTTAGGATACAGTCACATGTAGAGTATACTATTCAACTCCCTGTCTTCCAAAGCCCCATATATATATATATATATATATATATATATATATATATATATATCATAATAAAAGCTTCATTTCAATCAAATTCTGAAGGCCTCATTGCTTGCCTGAATTCCTTCCTTTCTACTGACATTCCTTCCTTCCTTCCTCCCTTCCTTCCTTCCTTCTCTTCTTCTTTTCTCTGTGTCATAATTAACTTTACTGAGGCCTCTGACTGGATACATAATTAAGGGTTTTCCATAAATAGTATTTATTGCAAGCAGCCCCTTACCAGACACCAAGGGACAAGTAGATGCAAATCATCAATATGATATTATAGGTAGCCTTTGCAAAATATCTTATGATGACATGTCCAGCCATTTTCTGATGTAAAACAGTCATCAAAAGGGTCCAGTAGAAACATTTTTGAGAACAGGAACACAAACATTGGCAATACCCATGGAGACAGGGACTAGATGCATAAGCACAGTGCCAAAGTGTCCAGTCACATTGAATATAACAGTACAGAATGCTTGCCCTATTATTCTATCCACTGAACTAGCATACCCTACCAGTTGCTATTGTTCTCAAATGCCCCAGAGCCTTTCACTGTCTCAACAATGTTTTAAAGTCATATGTCTTTTCTGAGATAAAAAGTAAACTCTTAGTTTTAGTAATGCATAAAACAAAATAGAATACAATGTATGTATCCACAGCATATAATGGAGTGCAAATTTCTGAAAGGATAAACCAGGGAGTAGGAAGGATTCAACTGTTCTCTGGAGAAAGAGAAATGGGATGAATTATAGTAGCTGTCTCCCAACGAACAGTTTAACACTATAGTAGTCATTTGATCACTTAGATCGAATGATTTACATTGTATACATTATATATCAGAATCCAGAATAAGCAAGTTTGAATGTCATGGAAGGATAGAACTTGCAAGAGAGTGTGGGCAAATATCTATGGAATAAACCCAGAAAAAATCACATATTGATATGCAATACTGCATGCATTTTAGTCAATTTCAGTTGCAGTCAAGTTGACAACCAAGTATAGCTTGCACATAATTCCTATCATGCAATTCTAGATCTCATTACAGGAAACAGTAAGTCCTGAAAGTCTGTGTTCAATGTTAAAGGGATGAGTTGTTCTCACATCTCCAATTTTGCTGGAATGCAATTACAACATTTTGTTGGCATGGTTTAACTATCTGCATGCAGTAATGCTTGGAAGATGATCCACAAAATCTCTACTACAACTCAGCCTTCACATTCACATTCACAGCTTTATGTAATATCCACTCGGGGCCTTTTATCCATTTTATTCCTTAATCAGAGACTGATCTGCCATATGTTGACTAGTGTAAGCATTGGTCTGTAATAGATGAGGAATAACCACTAATCTCTATATTTTTGTGTCTTGCATTCATCCAAACCAAATTCATGGCTTTAACAACATAACTGAATTTAACATCCTTCTTGGAATGGACTCTCAACTATAGAATCCATTTACCTTCATCTTTTTTTTCAAATTCCTTCCTAGAAGCAGAAAATTCTTTAACACATTTATTAGATGAATGTGCAGCTGGGGGTGTATTTTCATCATATACTATTCCTTTTACTTCACTTTAGAAAAGCAGACCTCTCTAAAATGGCAAATATAATCTCTTCCCATGCAAGACTTGGTTGCAACATTGTTTTCATTCATATTACTTATGCCCCATTTGTTATTTTTACCCCTGCATAAGCATAACAGCTATAAGTAACACCTGTGCCACAGATTCATGAATACAATGTCTTAAATTTTCCTCTACCGAAGAAATTAGTCTGGTACATTTTAACATAGCATGAGGCAATTTTCTGGAAGTGCATAAATATCTATCAGATCCTTTGTTACAATAGCAAATAGACTGCCCTATATCCCATTTTCTAATATTCTTCCCATTGAAACCTCCTAAGCCAGTTCTCTTCTCTCACCTGGCTCTCAGCATTGCAGTCTTCCAGGGTCTCATTGGAGTGATTAATTAAACTCTAATTACAGAGTAGAGTTTGCTAGTCTAAACTGCCAACATCTTCCACTTTTCCTCCAAAAATATTTCCATGTTGTTCATAGCCACAATTTATTCTTTAGAAT